GATAGTTTTTTTCGCTATAATCTGAACTGTTTCATTCCATCGCATGTATTCATTAAACATAACACCAAGAAATTTGACATTCTGCACAATTTCTTTACCACGTGAGTCTAAAGAGAAAAGCTGATTTCAGCTAATTTTGTTACCCCCTTGGACCTGAAAACAACAGCTTCCGTTTTATTACTATTTATCACTGACGAGTTCAGGACAGTCCACGTATAAAGTTTTCCTAGAGATGTATTATCTGTCTTCATAATGTCGGAAATATCGGACCCTGCAAAATATATACTAGCATCATCTGCATCAGTCGCCATGTTTGCTTCATCGCCAAAGTTTGCTTATACAGGTTAAATAAAAGAGGCCCTAAAATACTGCCTTGTGGAACACCTGCATTAAGTTTTCTAGACTCGGAGCGCTGGCAATTTATTACAACACTTAGAAAGCAAAAATTTAAGTAACTCTCGAGTATTTTCAGGGCTATTCCACGAATATCCTAAAGTTCTAGTTCTTGATTTACGATAAGGAAAAAGGGACATTGAAGACAGAGACAAGACAGAAAGCCTGTCTTGTCTGTTTGCCTTCACTGTCCCTCTTTCCTTATCGTAAATTAGAAACCAACACGCTCCACCACCTCCATTCTAGTTTTTGAAGGAGAGTTTTATGATTAATACGATCGAAGGCTTTTGAAAACTAGACAAGGTCATTTCCAGTATAATTTAGATTTTTAACTTCTAGCTCCTATCAGATCATTTCAAATTCACTTTTACTTTGAGTTGCAATTAAAAAATAACGCTATTTTTTTTTTTTTTTTTTTAATCTTGAACGGTTAGACAAGGAGGAAGGGGGTGTTGGCGGAGGCGGAGGCGCAGGGCCGACGAGTCCCCGAGGAGGAAGCCCTGAGTTAGGATCGAACATGAATACTCTAATGCAATGGTTCGCAACCATCGATGTTTCGCGGACCTTATTTGGATCTCCCAAGATAATGGAGGACCCCGTGCGTGGTGAGAGGAGAGAAAACGTGTAGGTTAAATATAATAATGATTTAATAAATAAATATAACTAAGAACTAGTGTGATATACACCTCTCGTATTGAAATGCACACGAGAAAACTCGCCCGAAAATTTAAACATTTCTCCTCGACCTGAAAAAATACAAGTTTTATTGCTTTGCTTGACTGATGAGGTAGGGCTTCGCGGACCCTCATTTGAGAACCACTGCTCTAATGTGTCAAATAAAATGTCGGAAACCTAAAGAGCTATCTACTGCTGATGCTATGTCAATAGTCTAAGCGTCTTCGCGATTTACATGTCAATTTTGTTTCGTCAAAGCCTAAAGTCTAAGCGTCAAAAGTGCAAGCCAGTGGGCCTTTTCTGTTTATGACATGGTTCAGCGATGATTGAACAAGTACAGAAAAATGACGAACACCATGATGGCGCGCTTTAGACGATGTCGGATTGGCCCCATCACGAAATATAACAAGTATGCCTCAGATTTTTAAGGTGTATTTTTTTCTTTTGCCGCAAAATATATGTGCCAGCAAGGATTACGAGGTGATTGACAGGAGCTTATCTTGTTTGGTATCTTTCTTATGTGTGTGTTCAGCACAATGCATGCAATGGTATGAATATGCGGTGACACAGCAAGTCCACCTTGGTATAAACGCAGGACTTTTTTTATATAAAATTCTTATTATTAGCATTAAAAGTGCAAAAAAAAAGACAAAAAAACCCAAAAAACTACCTATTTGCTATGGGCGCCGTCACCCCTAGGTACGCCAGTGATTGCAGTCCCGAAAATCCTATATTATCAACATCATTGAAGTGGGTTGTGCGCAAGGAATTATAATTGTATAATTAACTACTTTCGGTGTAAAGTAATTGAAATTCAAGTAACATTACATTTGCGAAGTAATTCTGCGTCGTCTTCTACAGTCAGTTCCCAGAATTCCTTTCGGCGCTACGTTGTGCGCAGCACGTTTTGCAAAATGTCTCTGCGGACGAGGGAGTAAAATAAACATGGAAAGCCATGTTGGAGGAAATGTGGTAAGGGAAATCAACTCAACCGTGTACTAATCATGAAAAAATGAAAAAAAAAAAAACGAATTAAGAAATTGTGGTTGTGTGACACGGTGAAGTCACCTGGTCACGGTGTCTCGTCTTGGTTTCACATGACGTTCCAGTGTCACAGAGTGGCACGTAACCAAACGGTGTCATGTCGTAGTGGTAAGTGATATGACGGACACAGTGACGTCACATAGTTTGTGTTGAACTACGTCACAGTGTCACATTCTTGTGTCAGTGATATGACATCAAATGACATGGTCATGTGGATAATGTCCCGTGACCATGTCATTCTGATGACGTCACTAACCACGTCATGGGACGAAGTGTCACGTGACATCACAGTGTAACGACGCGATGGTGGTGGCGTAATGTCACATGGCGTGACAGTGCGTCAATTATGCAAAAGTTCAGGTTCCGCCGCTAAATTTAGCGGGGAAACTCTTCCTGCTGAATTGAGCTATCGCGCCATGTCGAACGGACGCAGGTGATATCATGGTTCGGTGGCCGTAAAAATGCTATCGCGGTTGATAAGAAAAATTGACTATGGAGCGAACGTTCAAATTTGATCAGAAGATTCAACCGGTCGTGGCGTGACACCACGGCTTGACGCCATAATGTCACGTCACGTGACCACGTCGCGTGGCGTCTATCTTTACGCTAGACTTAGCGAAGAAATAGAATTGGTGCTCACATGACGTGAGGTTGTCGAATCCAAGGTCAACTCGTGGTGTCGCGTGATACAATGGTGTCAGGTCACGTAAAGTCTGTTTTCCCATTAAATTTAGCGGGGAAATGGACGGAGGTTCCCTCCCAGAGTACACTTGGATATGCTGCTGACGAGGATCGATGATAATTAAAAGGGGCACTGACACATCAAAATCATATTTTTTTTTATTATCCGAAACGATTGAAAACGATGCCGGGACATTACCCACAAAATTTGAGACTTGGGAATTCAGTATTCGTGAAGTAAAAAAACAATTTCCAAATGCCGAATTCGAAGTTCCCGCGCGATCGGCGCCGGTGCCTTGACGTCAAAAATTGAGGAGACCTGAGAGTCGACTTCCTTTCACCACTCCCTGCTGTTGCCATGGCGACCCAAAGCGAGGAGGAAAGGAGTGAGCGGCGGCGCGGACCGGTTTTGAGCGGTGTCGCCTGTTTTCCGTTGGAGGATACAAATCCAGGAGACGACACCACAACGAACTCCCGATTTTTGGTATTTCAAAAAGAAGGGCCGTAGTGCGTTCGCAATATCGTTAAAAAACATGTTTTAGGATTGCCGTAATTAAATGTTCTAGAGATGTCGCCTACAAAGCTTCTAAATTTCCTGATTTTTGACGTCACCGATCAAAAGAAGCGAGGAGGCGAGAGGCGGGAAAATCAAACGCCCAAAATAAAAAGGCGCGCGCGCGCGCGGGAAAATTTTTTTTCGCGATGCGGTTTTTTTTGCGTGTCTATGACTGCAACTTGCATCGTTTTAGACAATAAAAATAAATATGACCTTTGGGGTGTCAGTGCCCCTTAAAGGATTGCTGTTACAAACAGAATGTTAAAATCATAGAGTTATTACAATAAACGCTAGAGGCTCAGCTGGCGCTAGTGTGCTGTTGCAAATTGAAGCAGACAGCATGCAGTCAGAAATTGACTTCCGGTAATGCATTTCTATGGGAAAAAGCGAGTGCATTTTCTCTCTGCGCTCGATTATAAGAGCAAATATCACGAATAATTTGTACGTACTAGACACATTGTAACATTTCTCAGTCACGCAGACGAAATAATTGGCCAGTTACAGCATTTTTATTTGAAATTCGCGGCATTAAAAACGGTGTTAAAACCGCTTCGTACGTGTATTTATGTGCACTGTCGGACACTGTTAGCGCGAACACGGCGTCGACGCTTTCCAGCATGGGGAAATACGTGCCAAAAGAACGAACGACATGTGGAAAACCAAGAGAGACGGCAAGAACTACGCAGTAACACTGGGTAAGTAACTCCTTGTGCTTGCAGACGATCAAAATAAGTTGAAAGTCACGTAATATAGTCCGATTTGCAGTAAATAAGTACTGCTTTATTCTTTCTGCTCATGAATATGTGCGAAGATGCTTGTTCTGGGTTCAAATCATCACCCGCACGCTCCAAATCTTTGCAAATAGGGGGAAGCCAGAGGACAGGTGCGCGATAAAGACTGCCCAACATAGGAGATAATAAGAAAACACACCTTTCGTAGCCCACGTACTTTATTCTTTACGTTTCAAACGTTTTTTTTTTTTTTTTTTTTTGTAACCGCTTGTAGAGGTGCACGACGGGGTCATTTTCATATAGTAAGAGGACAGGCATATTAGCAATATATAAGCACCAGCGGAATGCTGGCGAACTTTGAACACACTCTACATTCCTTTCGATCGTTATTTTGCTTAGAATCGTAGCTCGTTTCTACATACCTGCCATGGAACAGAGGTTTGGGCCTAAAATATAGCGATGTTTAACATCGTTCAGCGGTAAAGAAAAAAATGCTGTAACTAAACCTATTACACTTTCACAATATTAATAAAGGTACATACTACCCGGTACAACCGAAATAACAAAAGTTATTAATGTTGTTTTCTGGCGACGAGACAAAATTCGCGCGCGTTTTCCCATAGGAATACACAGGAAGGCTGGAAAAGCAGACTGCATGCTGTCTGCTTCAACTTGCAACCGGAAGTCCCATAGACACTAGCGCCAGCTGAGCCTCTAGCGTTTATTGTAATAACTCTATGGTTAAAATACTGGCGTATTCTATAAAATATCCAGGGAGATACGACAAAATTAATGGGGTCGTCTGAGAGTCGTAAACCTTGTAAGGCGAGTGCCGCGAGTAATCTCTGAACACTCCACCTACCTATTTTTGTAATGCTAGATTTTGGAACGGTCTGGCGTCGTTGGTACCTTCGGTAGGCAACACTGACACGACAGCTCCAGGGCAATCAGCATGGCGGCTCTCTGTGGTGATTTCGAACTGTGGCTTGCTGACAAGTTACGCGCGCTCAGTATTGACCCCGACGTGTTCGGAAGCTACATCACAGGCATCCTCGAAGGAACCGAGACGGAGGAAGAGAAGTCCGAGGCCCTCCAAGGCATCCTTAGCGAAGTTTGCGTAAGAAAACCCATTTTCGGCGAACCACTGTCTCATGTTGGCTGAAAAAGCTGTGTGGTTTGTTGCCGGGTGCCTCGCCGATTTGTAGACCTTTTTATTCGTTACTCTTCCGCAGGAGGACGGAATATCGGAGGTTAAGGATGAAATCTTCAGCAAATGGTCTGCGTACACCCAGAGCCCAGCGGAAGGGGATGTTCGGGTGGACGACGAAGGTAACGCGATCGTCAGTTTGTGAACTCCGATGTTTATTTTGCTTAGCGTCGCTGGTTCTTACTCACAAAATGTCTGCGCGTTTTATTTATTTTTTCTTCCCAGGGAAGTACAACGTCGAAGCGAAGCTAGTGAGTCTCATGGAGGAACAGGCCAAGTCGGTGGTTCCAGAAAAAAGCGTGACCGTCGAAGAACAAAAGTTACGGCAGGCCATACTTGCCCAGTACGCCGAGGTTTCCGATGGAGAGGAGTAAGTCTCAAGGAGTTACTTATGGATACATGGCTTGCATTGGTGTCGCATCAGCCGCCATCGCTCCGTACCACGCTCCTGTGCCCGTACTATCGCGATCATTGGGAGCGTTAAGTCCGCGCTCCTTTACTCCTTCTCCGACGCTCCAACTTTCATACTCCGAGCGTAGCGACTAAACGGAACATAGCATACAGGAGCGTGACACACCAAAACTGTCGACTAGCCGCATGAGTCACTTTCGACCGCGTGGTTAAGCATCTCGTGGATATGGGTGGCAGACGCCGAAATTATTTCGAAGATAAATTCATTAAGTCTGTTGTGGAGCAGCAGAGTAAAGTAAAAAAGACGGTGACGTTAGGAAGTTTCTACGAATATTTTCATGGTCCTGAAAGCTTTGAAGACTTACTTCGAGCACATATGTGGAAAGTTACCTTGACCAATCGATTAGACCACGCATGTTGTTCAGATTTAAATGAAAGACAACATCCTTGAACTCGCTTGTCGACGCAGGAAACTGTCAAACTTCTCAGATGTTCCATGGTTCCGTCTTGCAGCACGGCAAAGAATCTGTCGATGTGCTTCGCTGATACCGGCACACCGTCATTCAATAGGTATCATGTCAATTTGTTTTCAGGCAAGATGCATGCACAAACCTTTTCCGCAACGCTAACTGATGTTTTGGCTTTCCAATCTAAGTATTTTGATTTTCGCTGTGCTAAGCATTCTAGAAAGGGCAGTGGTCCTGTTTTTTCATCTTGGCAATGTTTCTGTCGGTCTGCTATCGGCACACTACCGTTCGATAGTTGGATTCGTTTTCAGGCGAGATGCTCAAACAAACCTTTCCTGGAATGCTCATTACTGTCTTGACTTTCAAATCAAATTGTTTTTACCTGCTATATTATGCACTATTCAACTGTAAAGCAGCAGCGGTCCACTGTGCCCTCTGTCTCGACAATGTTTCTGTCAGTGCAGCCATTTTACTCGTGAACGTGACGTCACGGAGCGCAAAGTAGTCACTCGTGCTTCAAGAAATACTCGCTGCACGAAGAGCACGCTCAAGTGTCAGTCTTGGACGGCTCTCCTGTCCGTTTAGTGAACGAAGCGCAAAACTCTCACCCTCCGGAGCACGGGCTTAAAGTACCCAATATGAGTGTGGACACTACACCGTGTGGCCCGTAGTACTATCAATGCCCTCTGTCGAACGCTCCATAAAGCTTAGATGCAAGGGGTGTCGTTTGTGCACACACCTCTCGTGCGTACCCGACGAGGCAAGCATTCGTAACATTCATTCGACCTGCAAAGTGGTTTATTAGTTATTTCACAGTAATAACTCGAAGCGACTCCGAACTTGCTGCAGGAAAGTTTGCAATTGATTCATGTTGTGTCATGTTGCTTTTACGGTTCCAGGGAGCGAAAAATTGTTTACGCTTGCACCACGCTAACTTCTTTTTAGTGCAGATTTGTGGTCCTTCGCTTTTGCAAAACTCGCACAAAAGTAAATATTAGGCAGTTTTAGTAGATTGTCCTGATACCTCCGTGATGCATGTGCAAAGGTGTCAGCATAGTATCCGGTGTTGTTATCAGGATCATAAAAACAATCCTAAAGCTTCCTAAAAAAAAGTTACCCTACAAAAAGAAATATATATAGATATATAGAAACTATATTTGCTAGCGCATATTCCTAGCAAAAAAATGCTCGTGTTCATTTGTCAACAGTTTTGCGGTTCTGCCGACCGTTCTTCGCTGGCAGACGATCCGGAAGTGCAGAGTGGTGCAACGATCGCTGGAGACGTTGCGTCTTGTCCGCAAAACGCGTTTGTACTTTGCGGAGCAATTGACAGGGGGCACTGATAGTACCAGGGGCCACACGGAGCGGTGTTCACACTCATATTGATCGTGGCAGTACTTTCTGCGGTATACATTTGAACCATCGAATTTATTCTTCTCGGCAAGGCTTGCAAGAAGAACAAATTCAGTGGTGCCAAATTTATGCTGCAGAAGTTATGAGAACAGCAGCAATGGCGGCCGGTACGGTGCCACATAACGTGACATGCAAGACATGATCGCAGCAGTCGTTCTTAGCTCTGCCTAATTTTTTTTGTTTTTTTGTTATGGCTTTGCAATTGAAATTAGCAGCTGCGAGACTTCTTGCACCGCATGGCGAACTTTAGGTTGACCTGGACTGTATTAGTGACCCTGTACCAAACTTTGGCCAAAGTTTGGTACAGGGTCAGACACTGCCTACGAGAGGTGCCGCTGTTCCAGACGGGGGCATTTTCGTTTGGCCGCCAACCCGCTCTCAGTGAGCCGCCTCAAACTCACGATGACGAGTAGTTTTCGAAAAACAATTTCCCGCTCACCGATATTTTGTTAAGCCCGTATTTCGTCACTTTATGCGGGCACCAATCATTCTTTATAAGTCTCTAAAATCATAACTAACATATACAAGCTTTTCTTGTTTGTCTTAGAACAAAACAATGTTTTGCGAGCAAAAAAGAGCCAGGCAATTGAATGTACGGGTTCGTAGCTCCTCTACTTGATGGCTTTCCTGGCAGTGCTTAATTTGACGACGATAGCGGTAGTGAGAATTCACTTTGAGGCAGGAGGAAGAAATGAAGATTGGTATTATATTAGAGATTGTAGCAGAAAGGGAAGTTTGATCAGTGACCGAGTGTACACAGTTGTAGATGCATAAACAAACGAGAAATGCTGTCAGTGCTATGACGCATCACTGCAATCTATTGGTGGCTTATTCAAAGTGGGTTAGAAATTTTGATTCCACTTTCTGGTTGCCGGACTTCCAGCAGTGTTAGCTAGATTGGCGGTTCTTAGCCCCCTTGTCGACACTATACTCTGTCTCACCTTACGATGTATTGCAGGAAAGGCTACAAGTGCGAGCTCCTTGCTCTGGAGCACATCTCAGCGGCACAAGCTCTCTTGAGTTAAGAGCAGCTGCCAACGCTATGAGCTCACGCTTCTAGCCCTCGCAGCGGTACAACATAAGGTGAAACGGAGTATAGTGCCACGCGCAGTCGCACAGCAAGCTTTCTTATAGCGACACGGAGAAGTTTCATGACCAGAAGCATAGTGAAAGACTGACTGTACTAAGAACCAAAGAACAGCAGGTAGCTTGCACTGACGTGGCTTTGTCTGCCACGCTGGTGATTTATCTGCTGCAAGCAAGTATTCCCCCTATCAAGCTGACTTTAGCATAGAAGCATAAGAATGAGGCAAATAGTAAGCTCGAACAGTGTTGTGTAGTAGCTGTGTTTACTTTCATTGGCTCTTCTTTCCACATGATCGTGTTCACCTGCCAAAATGTACTACGCCAAACTTTAATGACTGTCACTTGCAGACAGTGGCTGCTCTATGCGGTGCCACATATCGTAGCACTTTCCGAAACACTGTGTATGCCCGCTGCTGCAGGAAGTTCTCTTACTTACTCTAATCGTGCCGTCATCTCTTGCTCGGTATTCCCACAAATGCCTGCCGTGTGGCACTGGCAGTACGGAAATCGCTCTGTTTTTGCATTACTGCTAAGTTGGGCCTACCTCAGTATTGTTAGATGTTTGTTCAGATGATATTAATACTGACAAACAAGACTCGCTACACAAGAATAACCGAGCTTTCCTCGTTGTATTGTTTTCACTGTGCGATTGCTGGCAGCCAGCTGAGAAGCCAGTGCAGGCAATGGAACTTGAGCGCAATATTCTTGTAGCATGCAGCGACTCGGATATAAACAAAAGGAAAGCCACTATAATCCAATATTTCATTTAGGGAGTCGAGCCCAGTTCCGAAAGCTGCAGCGGTGCCAGAGGCTGTCTCTGCAGCTGCCTCCACAGGAGCCCCACACAAGGAGCATTATGCTCCCAAATGTATCCTTTTGCAGTGCTTGTGTTACTCCTTGCAGCTAGGTCACCGACTTCACGCCTTCAGATGAATTATGTTTACAAATGTCAAGACGAAATCAAAATGCACCTTTGCCTTTAGGTGGGTAGCAGTTTGCCATCTTGATACTAGCAATGCCACCTATGTTCATTGCAACAAAGCTTGACACGTGTCTGCCTTTAAAGATGTATGGTACTTTTCGGAATTGAGGTTTCCGTCCTCTGTCACCTTTTAGCCCTACTTCAATCACCGACGGTGGCGATTGTAGTGGCTGTGTTAATTATTAGGCAGGCCACTGCTAGCCAGTTCGAAATACGTGGCTGCAGACCTGAGTTCCGTAATGGTACCCGGTGGCTACGAGGCAAAGCGTCGCCTACGGATGCCCAGGTGGCGGGTTCGCATCCCAGCCGAGTTGCCCGCAGTCTGACAGAGAAGGCGCCATTTTACCGAGAGTTTGGTTGCACATCGAAAGATCTTTAGGCGGTCGAAATTAATCCTCGGTCCTCCGCTGGTTCGTGCCAGCTGGCCCCCTTTGGTTTAGCATGTAATACCCCCTAAATTGGACCATGTTCTGCAGTCCTGACCACCTTTTTTTACGTTGAAAAGCAAACCAGCTCCTTTTCCGCCTCGAAATTCTCAAGTTTAAAGTTCTGGTTGGGGTACCAAACTCATGCGCGACGGTTTGCCAAGAGTCGCTGTCCATCGTCGTCGCCTGCCTTCCGCTTGGCCGTCCCTTCCTTCCTTGACTCGATGCCAACCCCAAGTGCTGGCGCGCAACACCAACGCCGAGACTGTCGCGCATGCCGAGAAGGAGAAGCGTGAGCTGAGCAAACAAGAGCACGAACGCAAGAAGGCGCAGGACAAGCTGAACCGAGAGAAGCAAAAGCAGCAGCAGCAGGATCGCAAGGACAAAGAGCGCAAACGCACGCAGAAGGGAGAACGGCGGCGGTAGCACCGACTTGGCGAGTCGATCCCGTTCCACTTCTTGTTACTCCCCCGCGAGTCCTCCTAATACTCCCCCTTTGATGCCCTCTTCTCCGTTCCCTCCTTTGCTTCTCAGCGATGTTGTGCTGCTACATGGTTGTAACGCGCATCGGTGCCTGTTTATGCGGTCGGTGCCGCCTGGCTGCGAGGTTGTTACGCCTTTATGTGCTGTTCTGTTGTGCACACGTGTTCGTTTGCTAGTTCCGGGCAGTGTAGGCGCAGGACCCGGGAATTCCTCGGCGACCCTAGCAACAGCTTTTGCACGTCAGAAGTCTTGACGTCACGAGGTACTATAATAAATAAATGTGAATGGCCAAAAGAAGCAAACTTTAAAACGATTGCGATTTTCAACTGCAGTTTCAGCAGGAATGCGAAAATTAGTCTGTCTCCTCAAAACGCCAAGATTCACTCTTTGTGCTCCCTCTTTTCTTTTGGTGAATGTCTTGTTCTTGTTTGCCATTCACTTGTGTGTCTTGTGGGTGTGTACGCAGTTATCTCTTTGTGTATTGTGTGTACTGCAGTTACCCAAGATACTTTCCCCATTCAACATTTTTTTTTTTTTTGCGGTGGTTCAACTTGAAACTTGTTGAACCGAAGCTACATTCAAAGTTGGAGGGCAAAGTCTCTGCACGCAAAAGCCTCCCTAAAAAAACTGAATGGGGAAGAAAATAGATTCGGATTTCCCAGAGTCAAAAATCTGTCAAGAAGTCCGAGGTTCCACGTTTTCGGTGTTCATTTTGACCAAAATCTGCGAGCGGTTGTTCTTTTAACATTTACTTTCATTACTATATTCAACGCTTTTCTGTGTTTCTATATCGCCGAAGAGATGATTAGTCTATTTCTCGGTACCTATATTGATGGTGGTTTGTTAATACCCACAATTTTTTCACTATCAGGCACGTCCATGGTATCATAAGGAACTAGAAATCATTAATTGCTTCACTTGAGCGTGTTACAAAAGAGCACGTTTATGTGTATAGTATACTTTCTAATTCCTGTCACTCAACGGGATGGGCTCCTTTCTGTTATATATTCTGTATAGAACATTCTCTTGGCACACATACTCAAGACTGGAATAGTCAAGATGTTTAGTACCATGTTTAACAAACATGACCAGTCGGAAGCAGCACTTCTTGAAAGTGATTGCATTGAATGCCTGTTCTAGAAATGATGTCTTGAGGGTGTCATTATTACGCAAATGAATGCAGTAGATGAGTTTGTACAAATCAAAGCCTTCAGAAGCTAGAGTTCCAGGGTCGGGTTCAACATGCGTGGTTTAAACTAGGGAGGCTCTAAATTGTTGTTGAAGTGCATCTCGTGCGGTGGTTCCTAAGCTTATCCGTGCAGAATATCACTTGTTAACGAACAAACCTTCGTTTGTAAGGAACGAAGCTGCTTTAGGATGTCGTAGCTTGTCTGCCGAACCGAACTTGGCACCACTTAGTTCAGCGTCCTAATGTTGCACTTCAACGTCGTTCCATTTTAAAAGAGCTGCTCTAACACGAATCATGTGATGGGCACATCATAAACGGGAGTTACTTTAAACTGATAAAGGCAATTGAATGCTGCCGTCAAAGTGAGCAAAAGCTCTAGAAATAGGCTAGGCTCACACATCTATGTGATAGTTTTTTTATTTAAAATTTTTTATCAAAATGCAACACAAAAAACTAGACCCCCCCCCTGTCCTTCCTTCCTATTTCCTGACGTATTTATTTATTTAAATTTAAAACATCCCTCCACTCTGTTTAAGCAATGGAAATAAATTCCAAAATATAATCTTTTTTAAATAGGTATTAGATTGATAATGCAAAGGTGCAAGCGAGCTGGACAAGAATGATAATGAACCCTAGAGAAAGGGAACAAGAGGGACAAAGGACAAACACAAATGTCCAAACACATCTAGGTGGGGTATTAGATGGTTGCCATTTTGGCGTACATCAATTCAAACCAAGTTTACGAAAAAACTTGGCGGGCAATTCTCGCCCTCCTTTGATGAACACCAAGAAAGCTAAACCCTGCCTATAAAGGTGAAAATGACGACAAAGTTTTAATCTCTCGGTGCATTTGCATGTAATGATTTAATCTCAAGTGTTGAACCATAACTGATGGGACACGAATCCAACGCCGGTGATCGGTATGTAGGCTCATTGTCTATCTTTGAAATGATTGAAGCTGCAAAAGAAAAAAAAAAAAAAAATATGTTTCTGTTTTGTTTTTAGACTTGACTAGTTGAATGCTTGTTTTTGCCCCAACAAATTGTGAAAGGTTGCCAACCATTCGCATGAAATGTCAACCATGTTTCACACCACTGTCATTACGATGGTTTGAAAACCATTACAAGCTGTTTGCGGTACTCCGTGGCATTCGTGTTCAAATAAGGCAGCTCACAACACTAATTTTTTTCATTCAGTGTCAACTTAATAATTAGTGGATGTGTGAAGCCAGCGTTCAGGACTGACTCTTTTTTGGGTGGATCTGTATTGAGCGAGTTACATTTCCTAGCTGCTGTGTTTTTCTTTTTAGAGTCTAACCTACACATTTGTACATGTGATGGGTGTACCATTTCTAGCAGTAGTGTTTTAAAGATGAATACAGGCATGGCCATATTTCAAATCGGTTTATCCTATTGACGCAGCAGTTGTTTCTAGACTGACGTGAAGAGTTCCTGGTACCACGGTGATGGTTACTCTTGCCCATGTTGGCGGATTGCTGCTGGTCCTTTGCAAGAACCCGAAAGAGGGACAAAAAGCATTTGGAAAGTGTGTCGCAGAAAATATGTAGACTAAAGAAAACTATATTTTAGAACTGCCCCAGTACTTATGCTGCACCATGTTGTCGGAGCGGAGACTGTTTCTCGCGTAAAGAGAATCAGTTGGAAGAGATTTGTGATTCTAAATTTGCCTTGCCATGTAGGCTTTGGGTTGATTGAAATTTCTCAGATCTTTATTTATTTTGTGTTACATGCTTTGAGGCAGTTAGCAAAAAAAAAAAAGTGTTCTCATCCTATATATTACTGATGTTTTCATCTTAGCGTTCCAGCTAGTAAAATCAAATAGTTTCCAAGTGCAACCATTGATCTTAGCTGGCATGGAGTGTTTTGCACACTAGCGTTAAAGTGGTTCAGTGAACTATGTCGTGACCTTAATGCCCCAATGGACACTCGTTAAAAGAAATATTGCATTGTTATGGGCTTCGAGACTGAGCCACGCCTCTACAGTATACAGCACTGCACGTGTGCAAAGGTAAAACAAAAATGCCGCATATTCTTAACATCACAAGAAAATTTAATCCCAAAACTTGGAGTTTACATACACTGTGTTTATGACTTTTCTTTTTTTTTTTTCTTCTCTCAAGAGAATTATCTTTTTCCTGTTGTGCACAAAACATGCAAAGCTCTCGCAGTTTGGAAGGGAGGAGGATAAGATGATTATCTGCCTTGCAGAAGAAATAGTCTTTTTACCTTCTGTAAATTGTATGAATGGATTGATAAAAGGTGCCAGGTCTTTCTTTAATCTACCCATATGAGTTGCAGGCATTTTACGGTTTAGTGACGTAGGGAAAGAAGGGAGGGAGGGGGAGGGAGGAAGGAATAGGGGGCAAAAGTCTGCCAAAAATCACTTGCCAAGCGTTTTTTTTTTTTTTTTTTTTTAGGGGCAGGTTTTTGTATTATAGAATAAATCTTACTCTGCATTAAAAAGCAACAACAAAGATTTGAAATAGCAAAGCAGTTTTGTGCTACTGGCAGAAAAGACTACATCATAATATCTAGGGGCTCGAAGTTACTATCCATTGTTTTAAAGAACCTACTGGAAAGTGTTACTCTTCAAGACTGTTACATGCACAACACAGTGCGTCTCTAGCATAGTGTGGTGTTCCCTGAAAAGGGTATGCTCTCTTTTAAAGCCATGGGTTTTCAATTGTACCTTTCTATAGCAAAGTAGAGTTGAGGTGTGCCTGTAATACCAGTACAGGGATTAGGGGAATGCACGTAGCAAAGTGACAAACAAAGCTGATCTTACAATGGAGGCTTTTTTGTATTTTACGCGTGCCGTACAGGAATTGACATGGCCCTAATTCACGGAACTTGTACCTCTGATGCATGGTCACACATGTGTCGTGCCCATAATCGCGAATCAACATCCTACGTTACATTATCGATTTTTGGAGCGCGTCATTAAGCAGCGCTTTCGAGGCGGAGTGAAAAATACAGTCTCTTTCTTTTGAGTCCAGGTTGCGTTCGTCATGTGATATTTTGGAGAGAAAACGAAATGGGACCGTCTCTGTAGTCTGTGTACGTTTTGACGCAACCCACGTTTTTCGGCCCAGTCAACAACTACTACTACCACCTTCATGGTGTATTTTTAGTTGAGAGTATATTTAAGAGAAATGAGCAGTTGCAGACAATAAAGAATCCTTGTCGGTTGTGACCGGTCGTCTTTCCTCTACGTCGTTGCAGCGAAGGAGCACACCACTCTTCACAGGACGACTTTCAGTCGCGGGACGGTGAGCTTGCTGAAGTCCGTGTTCTCCATTGCCTTGTATTCGGCGGAGAGGCTCGAGAGACTGGAAAGTCCGTCAACGAAATGGCAGTCCTCCATCGAATCCACTTGAAGAAAGTGGTGCACGTGTGCCTGCAACGCGTAGAACGAAGCATGTGTTACATGCGAGTCGTAAAGCATGTTACGTTTTATAACTTGGACTTTTTTTTTTCCCCTGAGTTCACTATGCTAGCTATGGTTGGGGAAAGTGAAGGCAGCAGACCGGGGCAGATTGATGGGTCAGGCATGGGGGGAGGGGGAGGCATTCGGCTTGAAGAGGGGGTGTGGGGGGGGGGGGTTTGCCGAGATACGACGTTACGCCCGAAACATTGCCCAGGTCTTTTTCGTTGATCCAATATTTGCTATGTCACCAAAAACTAAACTTTCAACTGGTGTATATCAACTTTTTCATTTAAAAAAGTTGACCTTGAAGGGCTTAAAGGGGGAGGGTTGCATCCCCCTTTAAGCCCCCCAAAGCAGTTTCTGGCAGCAGGTCTGGTGCATTCAAAACGTGTCGCGACGCTTTTGAGCCCATTACGCTGCACATACATGATTGTGTAATGCCTCGGAAAGTTCCTGGCACAAAATGCAACAGAATTAAACTAATGTGTACCAACATATGTAAGTTGTATTTTGGCAATGTGCTAAAAAGGCACTTCACTTTGTAACAGCACTACATTTCCTAGCATCAATCATTGTGCAAAAGTTTACCTTTTTCTCCTCCAACACCAGAGCGTTTTCAGAATGCCTTTTTCGTCACCACACCTGCAAACTAAATCGGCACGCCGAAGATGTCGCCTCAAATGCACTCGTTGGAAACGTTTGACGCCCTACGATCCAAACGTCCGAAGTCAGTCTGGAGTCTCTCGTGCGGCTTGTTTGCGGTTTGTCTAGGATTCAGGAAGCGACGGCGGCGTCTAGTACGTTACCGGAAGGTGTGGATCTGCTCACCTTGCGGTTGTACAGCCTGAGGAACCGCGACTGCATCTGTCCCAGCGTGTGGTGAAAGGCGGTGGTGTTGGAGAGGGTGAGCAGGGAGTAAGGGTGCCCCACGGGTGCCACTGAACAGAGGCCCGTCTTCCAACCGTCCCGGTTCCAATGCACAAACCGCACGTCCTCTCGGATCCTGAATGCACCGACTCATAATTTACCTACTTGCCCGTTTTTCTTTCTAAAGCATTTTTTGCAAGTGGCTGTACCCACATAGACTCCGTTTCACCTTACAATGGACCTTAGCGGATGCTGCTAGCCACCCCAGTCAATCCAGCGCTGTAAATGCGTCGCGCGACTACGTGCTGCACGCGTCATTGCACCCCTCTCTACGTTCACGCGGCATTGCACTACATCAGATTGGCCCCAATGGCTTGCAGTGACCTCTCCTCTGCGGTCCTTTTCAATGTGAAACAAAGTATAGCTGGGTGTGTTCGTGGTCTCCAAATAAACGGTGGCAACTGCGTTAGCCACTGAGATGACCATGAAACCAAGTGGGAGGAACCAGCTGCACTCCATTTAACCTTACGATAGACCGCAGAAAATGCTACGAGCCATGGAAGACAATCCAAAACTGTGAGAGTGTCACTTGACCTCCAGGAGTGGGCACGGCGACGAAGGTAATGCAAAGTCTCATCGTACGTTCACAGTGGCAAATTGGCCAGTAAGGCTCGTGGCGTCTGCTGTTGTCCGTCACGACGCGAAACTGAGTACAGTAACATTGTAAAGTAACCGGAGGGGTGGTACCGAAATAACAGAAGGTCAATCCAACAGCCACTATGTATGTTATACGGCGGAGAAGATGTACTTCAAAGCTATAGCCTTTAGAGGTTCTTCTCACGTTGCCCGACAGTCCCAGGGACAAACCCGATTCCGCTTAGAAGGATCTGTGAAGTATGGATCAGTAAGGTTGATGACGCAACTGTACAACACAGTTTTAAAGAAAGGCGGAGCACGAGAAACATTACATTTTGGAGAAAGTAATGAGCTCTGCGATCAGAAATGTCTACCATAAAATACTGAAGAAGCGCGCACCCCACTTTCACTGAAAACTTGGCTGGTCTAGATATGGGCGCTTGTCTGGTGAAATCAAGTGCAAAGTATAATTTCCAGAATTGCGAACTTTGTGAAATGTTAATAGCGAGGGCTTAAACAAAGTGTGCGCTTCTGCAGTATTTTACGGTATGTGCGCGCCAAGAGCAAAGTTGAATGGTTACTTCAGATGTGACAAATTAGAGCGTATGTTTAGAACTTTAGTGCATTCGAGGTGGATTATCCAGACTTCAATGCCACAGTTGGACCGCACCGATGATGCGCAACAATGGTCACCAAAATGCCTTGGGGTGGGGAGGGGGGCCACAGACCTGTCCAGGTTTCGGCGCATGTCCGAGATGCCGACGCTTCCCCTGGCGAGAAGTGCGCAGGCCAGCTGAACGCCTCGCTTCACGTCGCACTGCACCAGTTGCTGCTGTCCGCTGAACGCATCCGTGAACATCTGATCCAGCCTGAATTGACCCAGAACACAGCAAACCGTAATTCTCTCGTCTGCCACGCTTAAAATGTCGCCAGTCTGCTGAAGGGACCATGAAATGAAAACAGTTCTACACAGGTACATATCTGGAGCTGCTGAATTGTCACGAAGTGATACTACATCTAATGATGCCTGCTTGGTCTGGTGAAACGAAGCTAAATTAGTGAATAAAGCTCGCTTATTACTGGTGACTGGTCAAAAGAGCTGTGCAACAATTTTCTAGGTTTTGCTTAAATAATTGTGGCAGTTGATGCCTGACACTTCTGAAGTGAACTACAAAAAACAGATTTTGCCTGCATACCCTAGTTTTTACTTTAAAAAAATGAAAAAGATCCAGGTTTTTGTCGCCTCTCAACTCGTCCATAGTCTTCCGGGTCGCGTGCGCAGCGACGTTGATGGGGTAGGCGTGGGGTTCCGGAAAAGTTCTCTCTTTAGAGCCATCAGTGAGCAGCGAGAACTCATCCGCTCGCGACCGCGTGACCACGTGCTGGCAGGCGCCGCGCGAACAGTATGGTGAAAGGAGGAAAGTCTCATCCGGGTCCGGCCATACCCGTCCGGCCCTGTCCCCCTCCCCCTCCAGCTTCTGGCGGCTGTTCGCGGCAGCAGATAGAACTGACGGTTTTGTGGACCTAGGATAGATGGCGCCACTAAAACTCCGTATAATAAAAGTTTTGTCGATGATACCAGGTTTTTGACGCATTTATATTTATATTGGAACACCAAGATTTATAGAAAAGTTACCTTTTATCGAGCAGGTATTCACACAACTTGCTATCTTTCTACAAGATTCCCCATTGACGTCGTGCCGCGTGTTTCTCATGGCCGCCGCTCGCGGCTGCAGGTTGGGCAATATTCAAAGTTTTGCCTCGCTATTACGCGGCGGAATCGCAACATTTCGATGAAAGGAGGTGTGCTTTCTGTCATTTGTGACAAGGTGAACAATATCAAAAGCAGAAGATGCCAATTCTTTCAACGTTAAAATCGTTTCACACCTCCTTTAAGAACCTAGTGGATGCTCCACCTCTAGCACACGCTCTGTGCCTTCCACCAGGCTTTGGCCGCATATGTTGCGAAGTATTGCCAAGTGCAGAAAAGTCGCCCTCCAGGCGGAGCATCTACGGGGTTCCTAACTTGTCTTAGATTATAGTTTGATGCCTTATTTATGTCGCCTCGGCCAGCCGAGCGAGATCGGGTGAAGCTCACAGTTGCACCATTTAAACGAGAGTCACTGCAGCTAAAAGCAGTTTGCTGTCGACTTTGCTCACTTGTTTCGTGAGCAAAGAGAGTTGCGTGTACCCACGAGACGTTTGTGGGTGCACGCAACTTTAGCCAAGAAGCTACCCGCGGGACATCCGTTTGACACCGCCACGATGCATAAGCTCTCAATCTGACGCTTTCTGAACGTCAAGCGACTCTCGTGACAGCGGGACGTGATATCATCCGACAACTGTAGGAAGGGTATTTCATACTTCCGGGGTGGGAGATCAACATCGAGGAGGGAGTAGAGGGGAGTGACGCTGGAGACGAAGAAGTGCAGCCTCGGGTACGGGACCAGATTGGTGCAGATGTCGTTCAGGTCCACGTTGAGGCTGCCAGAGAATCGCGCTGAACTGCAACAACCAACCGGCAGAATGAATGCCCGCCCTGTTGAAATTTACGGTATTTTTTGACGTGTAAGTCACACATTTTTTTTCTCTTGTAAATTTCTGTTGGTGCATTTTCTGCAATGTTGTAACTTATGTGTTTTTTTTTCACATTTAAGAGTGGACCTTAACTGTGCAAGATGTAGGCTGTATTGACATTTATGATGAAGAAGGAATGGCTTCTGGCAATACAAAGTTTTGCGACATAAATCTGCTGCAGCAGCAACTGCACATCATCCCTGTGACTTGTATGAAGAGGCGCGTAGTAGTACCAACCTTTTTGTGACGACTGCCGTTTATGGTGGGATGCTACTTAAAAGACCAAAAAGTATGGTACTACTGTTGACGATAGGGCTAGCAAGCTTACGATGTCAACGAGAAAGTTTTCCGACAAGTATTTACGTAGTATGCACAATTAGTTAATCAATGAAGGGGGTGTTGGGAGAGGAGTCGATTTACTATAACAGTAGTTTGTCCCCCCATCCCCCCCCCTTCTGTTGTTATCGGTTTCCAAGCCCACCATTCCATTTGACGATACTTAAGATATTTGGGATTTACTGCTTCGTGGGACGGTTGCCAAGCGTTGTTGCATTGATGCAAGGGGGCTTCTCTGTCTTGAAAATGCCTAGCAATGCCAAGCTAGTCTTTGAGCTGGGACGTTATAATGCAGCTGCTGCAGGCCGGCAACAGAGTGTATACCTTGTGAGGTTGAGGAGCAAGTTGGCCACAATGTTGTTCATTTGGTCGAAAGGACGGGCTTTTTGGCAGAGTACGGAGTCCTTGGAACTCGCCAGCGTTGTTTTGGTCTTCAACCCCATTTTGAGGATGCGGTTACAGACACTCATCAGTGCCTGTAAAACACAACCAAAGGCATTCATGTGCAGTGGTGCTAAAACAAATGTTGCCCCCCCCCCCCCCCCCCTTTTCCTGTCAACATTTCAGACACTTTTACATAAATGTTTGGGGAAGAGAAGGAAAATCCCACTCTTACTACCATCCTCCCGCCTAAAGGACCTTGCACACCCCCCCCCCCCCCCTTTTCCTAAAAACTTCTGGCACCCTCCCTCCTTATGGGTTCCTTTACTGCTCTAAGAGCATTTTCTGATTGGACAGTGGACCCTCAAAGCATTGATTCTGACAAACACCTGCATGTTGCTTTCTTCACTTATGTTTTCATTTTCTAAACGATATTAGAATAGTGACAGCGTTTCTAAACGAGTGGTGTTCAAATAATGGGTCCACAAGCTGCTTTCTGACTTGGTGACAGTTGAGTGTGCTCCTCTGTGTAACCACAGAAGTGTGGTTACACAATGCGAAAATGTGGAAAGCTGTGGGGAATGAACCTTTGCTTTATATGCTAGTTCATTTATTTATTTCTTGTTTGATTTTTCTTTAAATTGCAGTATAGTAGTCGCACACATTTCGATCACACCAGTCCAGTGCGAGCATGAAAACAAATGCATGTGGATTTCTCGTGCTACCGCTTTCCTGCAGTGCACCTGTGCTGACAGAGAAGCACTATTTCCAGGAGAATGTGCTGGCAAGAAGCACTATTTCCAGGAGAATGTGCTGGCAAGAGGCACTATTTCCTGGAGAAGGTGCTGGCAAACATTGATATTGTTTAAACAAAAACAATTTTTTTGTATATAAGGCCTCCACCCATGCTATAAATTGTTGCGACTATGCAAGCATATACGGTATGCACTATGAATAAGTTCAGCTCTGGCAGTTCACTCATTCCCTACGTGTTCGTTTGTAACTTACATCTCATGTCGTATTACCTTCAAGAAAAGAAAGTATCAGCATCTAGGCTGTTGAATGACATGGAAGTGCATGAGAATTTGTTTTCCAAGCTAGTTACGAGCTGATACAGTTTGGCTTGAAGCAATGTTTAAACTGATATGACGAATTCCTAAGACAACAACCCTGAAGAAAAGGAATTGCAGGATGAACTTGAGAAAATAATGATACTAAATTTGAGCAATTGTCAGCCTTGAGTCTATTCAAACTGCAGCGGGTTCCAGACTTAAAAAAACACCTTTCTTAGAAATGGCACCTACTTGATGACACAGCACTCTTTACAGACTTGGCGATAACCGTAAGTTTTGAGAATGAAAAAATCCCCATAGCATGCACCCTTGGGAGCCACTGCTGTACAATGGGAATTGGTGAAGAATAAGATAGAGGCTCGCCCTTACAGGGATGCTGAACCAAACATTCCAGTGTCTATAATAAGTGGCACATTATCTTTCCATGAGTCAGCAGCTGCCGGTGTGCACTAGCACACGCAACGAAATTGACGTCATCATATCACCCATTCACACTTAAAGGGGCCCTGCAATCATATTTAAGCGTCTACCCTTTTTGCGGTTTCTACGTCTCTTGGGGTTGGGGCAAGCCAGCAGGCACGGAGAGAGTAACTAAATATCAGTGCGTCATATTTTAACCGGACGACGCGGAAACCTCCTCCATCGACGAGGGCGACCCGCAGTACCGAAAGCGCGCAAAATGTGACGTCTTTGGTCCTGGGCTTGCCACTGGTCAAAGCCGTTAAGAGTGTTTTTTTAGTCGAGATACAAAATATAAGTGTCGCGAACCGTTTCAATTATGTATGAAAGTAGTTTTTGTTCACTATTTTAGATCAGAAAAGAAACAAATGCAGTTTAGAAAGTACGGAAACGAGAAATGACCCGTCGACATACCCGCCACCAAGCGGCGGAAAAAAACGGCGCATACTAGAAAAGGCTAGTGGGATGAGGCTACGACAAACGAGGAGCGTAGAAAGGTCCCGGATGTACGCGGCGGCGCTGTGGTCAAATACCGGCTTAAGAATCCGACCGGTTCCGTGCGTTCCGAAGGCCTTCGGCGCGGGCCCTGTTGGCGATTTGGCCATTTGGCGGTGCGTCAGCGCGAAGTGGCTCCCGTTCTGAACTGATCTTTACCCCGTGTTTGCTGTCGTTTGTGGCCAATGAAATGTTATGCCGAATTAGTGTTTAGTCGCGCTGCAAATGCAATACGAGCTGCCCTGGCCGCCCGCTTCATACAGCCTATCCAACACGTGCTTTAGTGGCGCCCTCTCGAGCCGTCGACACGGAGTGCGGCAGCCGTGTGCGCTCGATGAGCCCACTACTCCTCCTCTAGTTCAAGGCCACTCAAGGCAGGACCTACGACGTCATGAAGGAGGTTATTTTTTGCTTGTTTTTGTAATTCTAATTTGCCTATAACTTTTAAGGGGGGAGGCTGGTCTTTAACTTTTTGTTTTTTATTTTTCATTTATCAAGCTGAAATTCAGTATACTGATGTATTTCTCAGTGGTGATTTCAAGTATGCAATTCATTTTTAGATAGCTTAACTAGATCCTGAGTTATTAACAAATTTGTAATTTTAATTAGGTCCTCCTTACGGGCTGTTTCCATAAGATTGTTCAGAATATATCACAATTTTTTATAGAATTACATTCACCAAGACATGTTTTGTGCGGTGATGCTATTTTAAGCCTAATCGAATGATATTATATTGGTAGAAAACATTTAAAATGAAGTTGCACAAAATGGGAGGTTATATCTTTTTTAGATTAATTAATTAAAATTATTGTATGAGATATAAAGCGACAAAAATAGCATCACCGCACAAAACATGTCTAGGTTAATGCAATTCTACAAAAATTTCTGAAAGATTCTGAAGAATTTTACGCTAACGACCCGTAAAGAGAACCTAATTAAAATGGCAAATTTATTAATAACTCATGATTTCGTAAAGCTATCTGAAAACTAATTGCACATTTGAAATCACTACTGATAAATACATTAGTATCCTGAATTTCAGCACGATAAATGAAAGATAAAAAACACAAAGTTAAAGACCAGCCTCCCCCCTTAAAATAAAGCGAAATTTGAGAAAAGAAAAGTTGGATTAAGTTACTACGTTCAGTACGCTCAGGTTCAGTGCAAATTAAAAACCAGTCAAAAAGTCATTGCAGGGCCCCTTTAATAGGCTTGAATGGGGGATATGACGACGTTAATTTCGTTGCGTGTGCTCGCACACACCGGTGGCTGCTGGCTCATGGAAAGATGGTGCACCACTCATTATAGACACTGAAATGTTTGGTTCAGCATCCCTTTAATGGATTAGTAACATCCTTGGCAGCAAGACAAATCTAACAAGCGGGGTCACAAAAGGAGGTTTACTTCATTCTCGACAGGACAGGAGCAGTCTGCAAACTCTGTTATCTTCTCCAGTGCAAACACGGTGTTGTAGGGCGAAGTTATGACGTCGTCAGTGGCAGACGGAAACACAGGAATGTCAAACCTGTTAGCACAAAGAGAGAAAGCAGTTTTTGATGCGATGAACATGCAGCATGCAGAATCTAAATATAAGTTGTAAGAGAAGAACCAAACAGAGGATCGACACGGTTGAACAAGCAAACAGCAAACATCACCGGAAGAGCCCAGTGCACTCAACAATTACTGAAACATTGTCGTCAGCTCTGACAGCGATGTGTATGAGTTAGCGGCTTTGATTTCCATTTGTATGTGCTGTTTTTTTCATGGTCCACTACCACTTGGGCCAGTTTATGACCTTGTTGAAGGTTCTAATAGACGCTTTGTGGCAACCTTGTGTGGGCACCACCACAACCGACCTTCAGTTTTTCCATTTTCTTATTCCATTTATTTCACTTAGGTAATCATTACCACAGCAGGAAAAGTTCTCCCCAGCATAGGCCTTTGTGGAGGCTTGTCGTCGCCCGATTCAGTGGCTCAACACCTTGGTAAGACGAGAAGCGGTCAGCAATGATGGCTGCAATCTGGCATGAGTGCAACGCGTCTATAAGCTACTGATCCTTACCTGTGAAATAAACTCGATTTAGAGCCTTCCCCTTAAAGTTCTCATACAGACAAAGTGAGACCTGCAAGATACTCCGCAGGTACCACATATGATCCATGCAGTGCTTCCAGCCTGGAGACACTTCCCTGTGTAGTTGCTCGCGTAAGAAAAAGGTAACTCAGAAAAGACCGAGTTTCCTCGATGCTCGGAATGGGCTACAAAAACTTGTGGTTATTGTGGAGGTGGTGCGAACATTTATAAAAACGCGAAGATTGTCTCACCTGAATACACCCGGGAACTCTTCACTAAGCATCTCGAGTACAGCCGTTCCAAGGCCAGAACCCGTGCCTTGAACATAAAACAAATTCATTCTCTAGGCATTGCAACGAGGGACTGCACACTTCAATGAGCATTTCCACATCCAAAATTCAATTTCTCTCCTCATAGTCTTACAGTCATTGACATGGAGCCAGAGAACAACTTTTGAGGGTTCGTAACCTTTGACAGGCACACCCGTGAGCGATATGAAGGTAAACAGCCCTCTTCTTGTTTTTGACGCTCCTGCAAGTTTTGGAACAAGCTCTGTTCCAGAAGAGCGCTAGAACGCAAAGTTTAGACCCCAAGCCACGTACCATTTGAGACGTTGAGAGTTAATATAGCTTTAGGGAGCTGTAAAACAGGCAAGAAACCAGGTAAGGTGTTCACCTTCATATTGCCGGCGGGTGTACTCTAGTGTGGCAAGTTAACACTCGTTTACAGTGACCTGATTATGCAACAAATTTATTTAACAAAAGAATTCCACTAAAGAATGTGTAGTACCTACCACCACCCAACGAATGAAGCAAGAAGAAACCTTGCAAACAGTCGCAGAGTTCGGCCTCCCGGCGAACCCTTTCCATGATCTCGGATCCGTACTTCGATCCATATTCGTGGAATCCAACCGCCCTAGACGGTAGAGAAACGGAAGTGTCTAAATAATTGCGTTGTGCGTGCGCGAGAAGTTTGTCAGCCCCTATAGGCGTCCGGTGTCTCTACTGTAGATGAGACATTTAGCCAGTGTAGTACCGTCGCTAGCCTGGTGTCTTCAGCAAGCATCGTGCAGTAGTGATACACGATCACACACCGGTGTGACGCTCATCCAGATAGAAACGAGCAGGGGCGTTCACCCCTGCCATTTTGATAGAACCCAGGATTCCTGGGTTCTGCAGCATGGGCTTTTGCTCCGAGCTGCGGTGCGCCAACGCGCTTGGCCACTAATGCTCCCCGAGTTTCCGGCTTTTCCATATGACGTGCAACAAAACAAGTGCCCAGCTTACTCACCAGTTATTTCCGGAGCCAGAGACGTCGGTGACGAACTGATGACTGCTGAACATGTTTCCCAGGGGCGTTCGCAGCACCGAATTGATGACGCCTTCTTCCATGTCGACCATGACTGCCTTTGAAAATTTTTTTTAAGCGTAAGTTACAATAGGGTTTCTCTGTCTTGAATGGTAAAGGGATGTTGAACCGAAATTTGGAACTCGCAAACCAAGGCGGGAGCGATAGGTGGGACGCTGCAAAACCCGAAAACACCACTCGTACTGCGATATCTCGAACGGTTGGCCGTATTTTTGGCAAAGAAGTGATCGGTTCAACACGGCCGAAGAGGCCAATGAGACATGCACGTCGCGGTTCTCGTTCCCTCTCCTGTTCGCTTCGTCCCCTCGAGCAGTTAGACCAAAGTGAGGAGGAGAAGTGTGGCCGCTTCCCATCATTCTCAACTGTCCCAGGAGGATTGTGATGTCTCGGTCCTCGCTTGATCGCTCCCTTTTTCAAAAATATGGGTATCTGTTTGAGATATTGATGTCCGAGTGATATTTTGGAGTTTGTAGCATCTCGTTCAACGCTTCTGCAACCTTATTTTGCGAAATCTAAAAATAGGTTCAGGATCCCTGTAATTCCCCCCCCCCCCCCGAGACGATTTGATCAAAAAGAGAGAAAAACCCAGAAATTCGACCTGTATTTTAATAATAAAAACAAACTTCAGGAGAAGGAGGTTTCTATCTACGGCTTTACTTTTAGTGGAGCCAGAACACAACCCACACTGAACGTTTCGCGAGGCTGTTGCTGGTTCTTTTGGGAACCACACGCCTTGTCTAGTTTCCTTCCCTGATTGGTATTGCGTCGTTTCGCAAGTATTTCGGTCGCTCGGATGTCGCCTGGAGGCTGAGGAATCCCATGCCCCGATACAGTGGCGTCACAAGTGGGGGGCGGGTAAGGCGGTGGACCACCCGGGTGCAGTGCTCAGGGGGGGTGACGCGGCGGGTCACGTGAGAGCGGGGCTCGGGGGTGCCGGGGCGGGCGAGGGGGTGTCGCGGTCGGCTACTGCCCCGAGTGCTGCTGACCATCGTGAAGCCACTGCCCCGATAAATGCCGATAATTTGTCCAACACACAAAAGTGACGCAAAAAAAAAGAAGAAAAGGTTAGAAAAAAAATTTTGAGTTTGAAGAAAAACTGAAGACACGTGACCCTACAAGCTCGCATTAGTTCCCGTAGGCAGTCATGCCACTTTTCTAATTTACAAAATGTGTCGCACAGATCTCGACAAACCACTTACTCGAGCTCGGAGGTCGTCTGGCGACTTTTGCGAGCGCCTGAAGAAATTCCACATGGAGGTATTGTTTGTCTGGAAGAAAGGATGGGAAATGAGCGTTTCATACAGTTATTTCTTTTTACAGCGGACCTGTTAAGGGCTAGTTTCCCCAGTTTCGTGTCTGGGGACAAAGAAATCTCGACACAACCCTCTGGACAGCTACCGCCATCTACAAGTGAAAGCGGTTATGACTGATAATGATATGAAATGCAAAGGTGCAAGTGAGCTGAACAAAAATGACAAAAATAATCCCTGGAGAAGGGGAGCAAAGGACAAACACAAATCTCCAAACACAGCTAGCTGACTGTGTTTGTCCTTTGTTCCCCTTCTCGAGGGATTATTTTCGTCATTCTTGTCCAGCTCGCTTGCACCTTTGCATTTAATTGCATTATAATCATAACCTTAAAATGCAAGCCGTTCATCCTTGTTGGTGTTAGACTGGTGGTGGCTGATAAAACCCATATGCCCTTCTGACGTCAAACTCCTGGTTAGCTCAGTCGGTAGAGCGCTCCACTGGAAATGGAGAGGTTCCTGGTTTGATACCAGGACCAGGCGGATTTTTCCGGTCGTGCACCAGTCGATTAAGTTATGTTTGGAGATTTGTGTTTGTCCTTTGTGCCCCCCTTTTCCCCTTCTCTTTTTCTCCAGGGATTATTTTCGCGGTGGAACAATATCTTGGGAAACTCGCCGTCGAAACCTGGGCCGCTGGCATCCACTGAGACCGAGCTAAATGCGACAACAGCGCCACTCTTTATCGTTTGTCTGTACTGTGGTCACCTTGAGCTTTTTGAAAGCCTGTTTTTGCGTAAAAACAAACGGAAAAGGCTCTTTTTGTATGAAATTTATTGGAGTTTAGTGCAAAAAGAGGGGCGCGTTATGTTTTTAAAGTCTTTAGTTTGCAGGGTTTTGTGGCACAATTATATTGTTTTTATACAACCATGCCTCAGCGGTCCTTTCAGGTAGCGCGTCCTGACCTAGGTGCATTTTAACTTGGGTAGTTTGACGCGGCGCGTCCGCCGGGGATACGGGGGTGGCACCCCTGTAACCTCTTCCGCTGTATCTGTTCTGAAAGCCAAAATAGCAGTAACGTGCAGTTCCTCGAGTGGCCGCTGCGGGAGAAATGGTGGCGTTGTGTTCGTCATTAGCTCGGTGCTCGGAGACACATTGGGGCCATTTTTTCGAAGCTGTCTCTATGGGAGTTTCCCAACTGAATGTTTTAGTAACGTTGGTGTATAGTCAATAATTAAAAAAGTAATTCAACAAATTTTACTTTGTTAACCGACTTATCATCATGATTATACCCCTATATTTTGTCTCCCTGGCTGTATAACCTACCTGCACAGACCACATCAGTGTAGCCGGTGTAGCCTTCATTTTTTTTTTACCAAATATGTAAAACCTTAATAAAAAAAATTAAAAAATTGCATGTTTATAAAAGTTTGTGAATCATAGTTTTATGGTGGATGGGTGTGGATGCTTACAGAGTCATCCTTCAATAACGTGTGTTCTCTTAAAGCGAAGTCCCAGAACCGGCAGCCGACTTGATTGCCACATTGTCCAACTGAAAAAAGGAAAAATGTTATTATAAGGAGGTTATAAGTACTAGGAGGGGACACGTTGCAATATTGGTGAAGCATAGTCATAAAAAGTTTAAACGATGCTGTGGCCAATGTGACCGTAGATCTCTCTTGCAATTGGTGCGCGTGACATGTCACGTGTGAGATGGATGGTCGATTGTAGGGATGCCGCGAACTTTTTTCGAACCGAAGGTTCAATGATCGAATCGAGCGCTTCTAAAGGTTCGAAAGATTTTGAATTTTCGAACTTTCCATATCGAGAAATTTGACAGAAGTCGAATTTTCGAACTTGTTAAACTAAGAAGTTCGACGCTTTTCGAAATTTCGAACTTATTACACTGCAAAATTTGATGCTTGTCGAACCTTCGAACTTGATAGACTAAAACATTTGATCATTTTCGAACTTCCGAACTTCTTGCACTAAAAAGTTTGAAGCTTTTCGAACTTTCGAACTTCCTATGCAAGAAAATTCGATAATTTTCAAACTTGTTAATCTAAAGAATTCGAAAATTATCAAACTTTCGATTCCTGAAAATTCAAAAGTTTGACGAATTTCAAACTTTTAGGGTAAAAGTTCGAAGTTCGACGAACTTCAAAAGACCGGCGAGCGGTTTCATTTGGATTCAAACAGTGAGGTACAATCTTTTTTTTTTTTTTCACACTTTTACATGCGGTGTTGCATTCCCCGCGAAAGACAATACCGCTTATTTCTATCATGTGGCATGCTTGGTTTTAAAGAAATCGATTCTCGAAGGAGCGAAGAAGGACGACGGGTTTTTGACAATTGTCGTTTGTGCCATATTTGAAGCGCACAATAGCCGAAGCTATTTATGGTAGATATGTTAACCTTTTTAAGAATGATTTATGTATAGCCTAGGTAAGTGTTGTCTTAAGATATGATTATTGTTGTTCAAGACGAGTTTCGAAGAAATATCCAAACACGTATCTATGGGCAATCATGCCCTAAACTTGGTAATTTTTTTTTGTCTACATTGTTTGAGGTATAGCATTTAAATTAACACCACAGACAGTACATATCATTACCATCTGCAGAGTACAAAATAATGTATTTATTGTTTTTTTTCATGTTGAGGAATAAATTAACTAATGGGGGAAGATTTCTAAAATTGTTCAAGTTCAACACGTAATTAAAAAAAAAAAATTTATTTCACGTTTTTAGGACGTGTTTCTTTTAGCCTGTACACATTTCGGCAGGAGAAACTTGCTTCGTAGTTCTGGGCCTCCGAATATGCAAGAAGACAACACTTCCGGCGGATTCTTAATAGTTTTTTTTTCTACAGCTTTTTATTTTTGCGTTTATTGTTATGTTTATTTATTTATTATTTTTTACCAATGACACAGTTATTTAGGTAGAGAAGACATAGCTTTGCACTTCCGAACCACCGAGCATGTGACGAGTAGTGCCTTCTGACGAGTTTCTAACAATGGGACTATCTGCGCAATCTTTTATGCAGTGAAGAGCGACAGTAGCTATACGTATGCATAAATAATTTCAGATTAAAATAAACTCGACCATGCCCTCTTTCCCCGTATTGTTTTCTTTAACAGTCCGAAATATCTGGAGGGGGGGGGGGGGGGGGGGGGGGGGGAGACTGGAGTCCCCCCCCCCCCCCCTCCTTCCTCCCCCCTCCCCCCCATTTTTCCTCTTTCGACACCACAGGATGGTAGAACGCCCCTCAACCTCAAGTTGTGTCAGCATCTGTGCTTTTTGCTCGGCGTTTCTTCCGTCCCAAAAAATAAACCTCCAAGGCAATTACAAACTAAAAAATTGTCAAGGTGCAGGCGAGCTGGTGTATGTTGCTTATGATGCAAAATCCCAAGACTGGGAATGAAATTCGCAAGAAATAGTGCAAGAAGAAAAAAAGGGGACAGGACAAAGTCTCAAACTCAACTGAGTTGAGTTTGAGACGTTGTCCTGAGCTGAGTTTTCAGCTGAGTTGAGTTTTGAGACGCTGTCCTGAGCTGAGTGACGCTTGTCCTGTCCCCTTTTTTTCTGTCTTACTTTTTCTTTCAAATTTCATTCCCAGAGCTGAGTTTGAGGCATTGTCCTGTCCCCTTTTTCCTGTCTTCTTACACGTTTTCTTTCAAATCTCATTCCCAGTCTCAGGATTTTGCATCATGTACAAACTTAACTATGCCAGATCGCTTCAAGG